TTCGATTGTGAATGCTGAGCCAAGCATATTGGCAGATGTGCTCTCCCATCTTCCAAGAATGGAGACAGTATGCCTGGTATTCTGGCGGTTATGTGGACAGTTGCACTCCGAAATGTGACAGGCCAATTCAATATTGCTTCGACCGGAAAGTTTATGGAAAGTGCCAATTATGTGGGTGCAAAACATTGCCAATGGTCAAATGCGCGTATTGTGCCAAGAACATATGTTTCCAGCAGTTTGTCATCGAATGCCACCGATGTGTTCAGAATCCTCAACTGTTTTTTCAATAAAAAAACAAAAAAATTTTGAAAAAAAATTTTGAAAAATCTTCGATGAACCATTTGTGAATTTCTTCAAAAATTAAATGTCTGTTTTTATTCTTGAAAATGCCTATTCATAATGAGAAACTCCCGAAAAACATGTTAAATTGCGTAAATTTTATTCCAGAGCCAGTTATGGCAGCTTAAAATAAAACAAAAAAAAAATTTGCAAAATTTTTGGGATCGGGAGAATCGAACCTACAACCTTCCTCCTCTGAACTTGCCATTTTACCACTTTACCACACTGCTGATTGAAATCTATTGTTTTAAAAGAAATACACTATTCCGTGAAAAAAATCTCACGAGAAATTGCTTAATCATAGGGAAACTTTTCTAGGTCATAACTCAGCTCACGTGAGCATTTTGCTGATTTTTTTAAACAGATTTGGAATCCTCATAAGCTCTTCTATTTGCTCCCAAACTTTCAAAAAAGTTAAACCCGCTCCCTCAAGTAACTCCCTTGTTAAAAGTATAACTTCTTCAGATGGTGTCAATCAAGGGTCATTTTAATTGGACACATGCTGTATACTTTGGATTGTTCGCTGTAATTATGCCCATCTATTTTCTTATTCTTATATGTCTTCTGAAATTAAGAAATTCTGAAAATGCATTCAAGACAACTTTCTATTTTTTACTACTATAGCATGTCAGTTATTGGGTCATCGATTTTCATAGCAAAATTATTTTTTAGAGCATTGCTGATGTCATAGCCATGGGATTTTACGCTTTTCAGAAGGTATCCTACGTTTTGATTCCAGATTTTATTTTTGGAAAACAAGCATTTCTAGCTCCCTGTGAGTTGTTTTTAAACTTCTGTAGGAAATCTCCACTTTCAGTTTTCTACAACTGTTTCTTCTGGTTTATCATAATTCGAAGCTCCGGAGTCGCTCTTCTTACCTTCCATCGATATCTTGTTATCGTCAAATCCTTCTCCAGTTTATCGATTTTTATTCAGAAATTAAAATTTTGGAAGATCATTCTTATCTACTGGATTCCCGCTATGGTTTTTGATTCCATTTTCTATTCGGACTCGACTGTTCAGTTTGATAGTGTTGAAAATTTGAAAAATATAGTGAAGTCTGAAACAACTTTGGTAAGGTATTTAGCAGGAAATTTTTAAAATAGAAGAATTTTCAGAAAAGCACAATAGTCTGCATTTCTTTTCTTTCCATTTCCTGTTTTATTTGCGCTATATCAAACTGTCTCATCATAAAATATATCCGAACAAAAAGCAGTTATTTTTCGAAGTAATCGAAATTCCAGATTTTCGTTTTTTAACTTAATTTTCCATTTTCAGACCTCTCCAACGAGAACTTCGTCTGACTTTTCAAGTATCCCTCCCATTCGGGGCACAACTCGTTCTTCTCTGTTTCATGATATTTGCAAATCTGTATGCAAAAACTGGAAATGTTAGTTTCTTCGGGTGTTGATGTTCAACTAGAACACAAATTCCAGACCGAAATGATGGTGTACGTTCGTGATTTTTTCCCGCTCGCCAATGGTTTCTTATCTTTTATCAGTCCATTCACAATAATTTTGTTCAATCGAGATTTGACAAAAAGGATTCGAAAATTTGCGTGTGGCAGAAGTGTAAAGGACCAGTCAGAGATATCGGCGAAAATTTCAGTGGTTTCAATCAAAATGAGATAACTGATATACTGTAAAACCTGAAGCTTTTCAGTTCAGGTTTTATCAATAGGTTTTAGAAATATGCCTATTTTCGTCCGTTTCATTTTTTTCGCTTTGCATACGGCCGGAAGTTTAGCCGACCGGATGATCGCAGACCCAGCCGACCGACATCCGACCGAGCTGACCGAATTTCTGAATTAGCATTCCCTCATGCTAGAGAGTTTTTGCGTTTGCAGCATTACGTAAACATTCTCTGGTATGTCGACGCGCAAATTCACGAATTCGTACAGCTCGGTCGGCGGTCGCCGGCGTTGGACCGACCGAATTGGAAGCCTTCTTTCTAATCTCTCAAAAAGAGTGGAATGAATGAAATCACACATCCAGCAAAATATCGTAAAATAGAAGCTCACAGAGGATTTACTGTAAATTGAATTTTTTTCTACAAATAAATTATTACACATCTCTTTATTATTATCAACCAATAAAGAATACTCAATACACCTTCCGAGAAAGAATATTCACTTCAGCAGTTGCAATCGAATCTATTGGACTTTTCTCTTGTGTTTTGTCAGCCTGGAAAATCTTTTAAAATTAGATTTCCTACTGTATCATCCTCACCTCGACGACTGTTCCAGTAACTGAAGTTTCCGTCTTACTCCCCAGTTGAGTTTTACTTTCTTCTGTTGTAGCTTCAGTTGTTCTAGTATCTGTTGAATCCTTCGAACAAGTTACGGATGAATCGTCTGTTACGCTTAGCGGAGTTTGGGTCTGTAAAATGAATTCCTTGATTTCTGAAAAAAAATGTTCCGATCAACCTCGTTCTTCTTCTGCTCCTTCTTCTTCTTCGCACTTCTTTTCGTTGTTTTCTTCTTTTTGGGTGTATCCGTCTTTTCCTCCGATTTTACCTCATTCACAACTTTCACAATCTTCGATTCTTTTTTATCAGATCTCTTCGGTAATTGAACTCGTTTAGGAGGATTTTTCTGTGGTTTTATAACCCCATACAGCTCCATATCCTGAATCTTCTTTTCCAACTCTTTCACATTTTTCTTCAATTTTTCAGTGTCTCGAATCCAAACAATCAGAAATATGACACAAGAAAAGACAGTGCAAAAATTAAAAGGAGTAGAGTGTAAAAGGTGATCCATCTGAAAACGATCAGTATTAGTAAGACAAAAAGTCTTGAATTCTTACTCCATATACCGTAAAATCTGTATTGATATTGCATGCAAGTCTATTGTTCAAGTCACCTCAAGGGGTGCAACTCTATTAGAGGGGCAATTCAAATAGAGGCTGCAATTCTATTTTTCAAACTACGAAAATTTTGAAAAAAAAAGTTTTATTATGAAAATCAACAAAAAAGTAACAAATTGAACACAACAAAAGGAAAATATTCAAAAAATTGAGGCGTCACTGTCATAGTTATTGTCTTCTTCCTCGGCATGGTTCATTTCTCCATCGTCTTCCTCAATTTCAATATCTCCCAAAATCTCCTGAATTTCTTCCATTTCTCGTTCTGCTCGTCTTGTCTTCAATAACTGTACGCCTTCTGGAATTTCTCCATCTTTCTTGAAACAATGAATTGCCTCATCATCTTCGCCATTTCTTCCATTTTTTAATCCGCATCCTTTGAATGATCTTACAATGTATTCCTTCGGGATATTTTCCCACGCCAATTGAATCCATTTCAAATAAACTTCCATACTGGGAGCACGCATATTTCCCGCCGGGGTGAACGATTTCGTTCCATGAACCATCCAATCTTCGTACTCTTTTCTGATGAAAGATTTAAACATTGCGTTCCAATATACATCTGGAGCCTGAAAAATCGGGTCAGTTTCAATAAAATCTACTCACTTGTAAGAATTTTGTGCATCCTCCAGGAATCACCGCAGTGTCTAGTCTCAGTTGTTTCAATACTTTTTTATTGTCTGTACTGATGTGGTAAGAGTCCCATACTAACAACCTTTTTCCGAACATTGAGTGACCGAGAACTTTTTCAAGAAAAGTTTTTGTGATTTCATCGTTGAAAAATGTTCTGTCACACCAAACCAACTGCAAAGTTTTTCTAAATGTTTCCTCAATACTTTGCACTGGTCTTTTTCTTGGAAGAAGTACAAAAGGTTTGCACTTAAAACCGTCTGATCGAGCGCACAGCATTACTGTAACATGCAATTTCTCGTGTCCCGTGGTTTTCACTGAAACCTGAAATTGAAACGTTTAGCTTGTTATTTTTGAGTGTGCTGACTTGTTTAGATCCTCGATCCGCTACAGTCAAACTATTCGAACAATCCAGATAAACCGCCGTCTCATCACATGCGAAAATTTTGTCATAATTATTCATGGTAATTAATCGTTCCACATAAAGGAGAAAGTCAATAATTTTCTCCACATAAAACTCTGGCGGTTTTTGACAGACTGTTGTAGCACGTCTACTCGAAAATCCATGCCGCTTCAAAAAAGAAACCAGCCATCCATTCGAGAACTGCAACATTTAATGTTTAATCTCAAGTAGGTAATCTGTTTTCAAACCTTCATATCACTATTTGAAATAGACTTGGCGCGATTCTGGATTCCAATACGAGTAATACGAAGCTTTTTTTCTCTTTGCTCTCGGACCCATTCCGCAAGTTTAGTATCAAAATCTTTATCATTCACTTTACGCCCTGCGCCATCAAGCCGTTTTTTCTTTTTTCCATTTTCAGCGATTGTTGCTATTATTTTTTCTTTCTGAGCTCTCCATTGTTGCACATTTTGTCTTGAAACTCCAAATTTCTTAGCTGCTTCCGTGTTATTTTTTGATTCTGCCCATTTCACCACCGTAAGCTTGTAATCCAAGGGGTGGGCTCCACGCTTTCTCTTTCTAGAGTTTCCACCAACTTTTTCAACGTCTTCCACGTCTTCCACGTTTTCCACGTCTTCCACGTCTTCCACGTTTTCCACGTCTTCCACGTCTTCTACGTTTTCCACGTCTTCGAGGACTTCTTCAGAACTCATTGCTCGTGTTGCTCGCTTCAATAAATGGAAAATATTGTTAAAAAAACAAAGAAAAATAAAAATAAATCAGAAATTAAGTAGGTAGTTTAAAAAAAAAGAAATTCGAAAAACAACTGTGCAATTGTTCGTCACGGTGTCACAGACTAAAAATTGCACAGTACTCTCGGCGGAGCCGCAATTCTGCTGGAGATGCAATTGTATTACGGGGGCAATTCAATTAAAGGCTGCAAGTCTATTTTTCAAGTGCCCTCAAAGGGTGCAAGTCTATTAGAGGGGCAATTCAAATAGAGGCGCAATATCAATACAGATTTTACGGTAAATCCGATTCTCTATTGGTATCAAACATGGGGGATAAGTAGTACTGGAGATTGGAGAGGTTTCTAAGGAATCTGTAGTTGACGAAGTAGCATCTGTCGCTGAGAAATTTTCTGGAGTGGTTGAGTTATCAGCAGCAGAGATTGTTGTTATAAATAATATGATTAGCAACGAGTGCAATGAATCTGAAAACTCCGAGATATCTATATAACTGTAGAAAAAAACTCACCATTCATTTTAAATTATTCAATGATGGAAATTCTGAAAGCTCTTTGAAAAGTTGTCATGTTGAAAATGGTACGGTCAGAGTCCTGGAACTGACTTGTCAAAAAGTTTTTCGATAAGTTTTCTCGGGGACCGGGTGACACATTTTTGCCGTTTCAACGACAAATTATTATTATTATTATTATTATTATTTTTTTTTTTTTTTTTTTTTAAATAGAAAACGAACATTGTTATCATGCAATAATTCAGAGGGAAGCAAACTAACAATTTGCTGTGATTTTTTCTTATTCAGAGCGAATAAAAATCAGCAATTCGCTGTGAGATAAACTGAAGCCAGAGTCTTTAAAATTATTTCTTGTACCTCCTAAGGGTCCTTTTATTTTTCCTAGCTCGTCTCGGAGGGCCCTTTTACTAGAGTAGCCCTTCTATTGAACGGACTCTTCTATAAACCGGTTTTACGTTAGCTGAAAAATTGTTTTTCGCTTTGAACTTTCATTGGTGGACAATTTTTCGATATCTCACAGGAACCGAGATAAATTGAATCGAAGTTAGAGGAACCTCGTCTGTTTTTCAAGTTCTACGGTACACAAAATGTTACAGTATCGAAAATTCATTCTATAATCAAAAAAAAAAAATTAAAAAGCTTTTCTCGAAGCAAGTTGTAACTCAGCAGTCCCACATGATCCATCTGTTCCCGTCGATAGTTGTGGTATGGGATAGTTGTCTCCATCACTAGGCTCCTCTTTGGTTCCCGTCCCACCTGTTGCAGTCTTCGCAGTTCTCGTCTTCTCTTTTCCAGTTGCCATTACCACTGACTTCTGAAAATCCCATTGTGATATTCCTAGTTTTTTTTCAAAATCTTACCATCGCAGATTGTTCTCCTTCCTGTGTGGTCTCCACGGATTCTGTTTTCCTAGTCTTCTTTGCTTTTTTCTTTGACTTTCTTGTCGTTTTCTTTTTGATCTGCTCTTCCTCATCAACGGATTCTATTTTACTTTCTGGTTTTGGCTTTGAAACAATCGCAGCTGCTGTTCCGGGCTTCTCATTTTTCATCACAACCATTCCACTAGAAGCTGCCGTGTGAATTATTATAGGATTAGATTCCATTGTTGAAATGCTTGTCTCCAAATGACCAATCTTTTCCTTATACCTCTTACGATCACAAAAACAAATTATAAAAACTATGATGAATAATATGGATAGAGCAGCTGTGGCGACAATCCAAACTATGAACAGGGTTCGACTGAAAACCTTCCTTAAGAATTTGTTACCCTAGAAATCTTACTCTATGCTAATCTGATCCGATGAGTCCTTCTTCTCCACTTTCTTTTTGATTTTCTTCTTCTCCGAATCCTCTGTATACAAATATTCCGTAGCAAGTGTTATGGACACTATGAAAAACAAGCGGAAAGCATCTGAAAGTTTCTTATTCCAGATTCTGACAAAACTCTGAAGAAAACCCACATGGCATCATCTTTAAATAGTTTTAAACAAAGATTAAAGAGAAGATCGCTTCGATAATAGCAGAAAGTGGTTTTAGGGTCACATGGTCACACTAGAGAGAGTACGGTCAGTTGACTGGAGCATGGATTTTGACACGGATTTTGGCGGGAAGATTAATTTTTTAAAATTTCGAAAAATTTTTCTACCGAAATTCGAACGTTGAAACCATAAAAGTTGGTGATTTATTGTGGTGGCCTAGAGAGTTCCACTCGCGAAATTTATGTCGCTTTGCTAAAATGACCTAAAAACACTCCAGGTGAATATCAAATCGTTTTCAGGTCATGTAACAGAAGCCATTGGTGGCCTAGGAAACTCAACATGAAAAATCAGGCCAACATGCTCGATGGCCTAGAAAATACGTCAGGTACATGTTAGATCATTTCTAGACCATCAACTGCAGAGGCCTTTTCGAGAAACAATCTCGAACAATTTATTGAAAATTCGTTATAAAGAAACGACCACAAAAAATATTTAAAAAACTAATTTATTATGATAATAATTATTTTCCAAGAGATTTCGATTCCGATTTTGACTTTGATTTCGATTTGGAATTCGATCTCATTTTTGACTGATCCGTTCTCATTGTCTCAAATTGATCATACTCTTCTCCGAAATCGTATTGCTCATTGTCTGCTTCATCATACTCCACTTCTCCCAACTCGACATCCTTCTTATCTCGACACTTTTTCTTGAACTGAAAATTATCATTTGACCTAAAATTCGACCGAAAGTTCCAATTACCGCGTGATCGAAATCCGTGGCAATAACCACTCCTCCCTGCTTTTTGAACTTCGAAGGATCGGCATCTGGATCCGGTTGGGCAAGCAGGATTTGTTTAAGCTGTTCTTTTCGATTCAGACCACTCAAATCCATTTCTTCCGAGTGATCTGAAAAGTTTGTGTTTGAAGAAGAAATCGAAAATACATATAAGACAACCTTGCTTTAATTCACAAGTTTTGAAACACAAAACTATGGAAGTGAGAGTGAGAATTGCCATAATGCTACCCGCGATCCAATAAGAAGTGTTGTTTGGAACACTTGACGACTTCTGATGTGCTTTTTCGAAAATCTCACATAGATTCTTGCAAGCATGATTTGAAGAAATATTCTGAAGCAGTTTTTTTTTAAATTTCAGGAAAAAACTTCAGACAAAAAACAATAAAACCTTGCAAGACTTCAATCCGTCGACAAAATCTAATTGTTGATATCTCCTAACTTGTAAAACTTCCGTTGTTGGAACAAAAGTTGTGGTTGTGAGGAGCTCAGTAGTTAGTTTAGATTGGGAGGTGACCTTTCCTGGTTTTGCAGAAAAAACTTCCGAGTGTGAGAATAACAAGAAAACGGTTATGAAGAGATTTATTTTACAATTATTATCTGGAATTCTCAATTTTTTCCCTCAACTGTTTTGAACATACGTCTCATATTTTTGAAGAAAATTAGATTTATCTGGGTTGAATCGAAAATAAGTAGCAAGGTGGTGATACCAATTTTTTAAAAATAAAAATAATTTTTGAGATCACGTTACGATAATTCATCATTGAATCGAGTTTGATTTGTTAACATGACGACATGACCTAACTTTCTCAGCATTATTTTTCTAGGCCACCGTGATTGATGGTCCTGAACTGGTGTAACTTGCACCTGGGGTGTTTTCTAGTTCATTTTAACGTGGTGACCTAATTTTTGAAAGTTGAATATTTTAGGCCACCATGGTAAATTACCCATAAAACACATCGGATGAATGTTAAGTCATTTCTAGGCCGAAAAGTTGTGACCTAGAAAATTTAAGTTTGAAATTGTATGGCTTCATTTCAAGTGGTTCTGAATTTAGTAGATTTAATAATTTAGACTGAATTTAGTAGATCAAATGATTTATTCATTTCACAATCTCCAACTTCCATGTTCAGTTGAATTAAGTGTAAGGAGGCCAGGTGGAAATTGGTCTGAAAAAGTTATTACTCTTGTAAATTTCTTAAGTCCAACTTACTGATTCACAGACATTCTGATTTCCAACGCTTCCATATTGGTCGACGAATAGTTGTAGTCCAAAGCCAGCTCGAAATCCTGATCCCTTCCCAAACCCAATATTTCGTCAAAGTAACCATTAAACTGAAAAATTCTGCTGAAGTATGGAGGATAATTGAGAGAAAGCTCACTTGAACGAATCGGGCACGATCAACGATAATGGTAAGAACTTCTCCATTGGTGGCAGTGACGGTCAGGTTTAGTGCCCGGAAATCATAAGGTACTCCTGGAATATTTTTTAGAAACCGTCATTGATTTTGTTATGTCGGTTACCATGATCTTGTACAGTGATTTCTACAGCAACAGGTATTTTTTGGTAAAAGTAACTGGGAGTATGCAAAGGTGGAAGTTGAAGGGAGCCTTGTCCAGAAACAAATGGATTGTAGGCATAAAGGAGATACTCATTTTGAATTCCATTAGTACAAAAGTCAACGGCCTGAAAATTCAGAAGGAATTATCAAGCAACCATGTTCATCTCGCCTCACATCATCAAATTCATTCTGATAAGAAAAAACACAAATGCCATTTGTCTCTGATGAAAAGTTGTACATCACTGACGAGTTTTGACCTCCCAGAGGGCTCTCAAACACAACGGTTCTTACAAAAACTCGTTGTTTCTGTAGCTGATCAATAATTCTTGAGACATCATTTCTATCATCAGGATTCCTTCCAAGTAGAACGAGTATTGTTGATCCACACCGATCATTCTCCAAAAACTTCTGAATAACATTCAAAATGTCACTTCCAGTTGTTTGATTCAAAAATCCAATCGTTGAGTTTGGCAACTGGTTTTTAACCGAATCGGTGAAATTGCTGAAATTGTTGTTTTTTTCTGAAATTTGATTTCACACTCTCAAAATAAAATAACCTACTTGATATCAGAGTGATACGAAATTTCTTCACCTCCCCTCTTGTCAAAACGGACATTCGCAAATGTTACATATTTTGTTTGAAAAAAGTCCAACTTCGAAGATACAGTATCTAGAGAATCTAAAACTATTTCTGGATCCAAATCATTGGAATATGCAAATAGATATGTTGATGGAGTTGCAGGAGTACACGATGAATTAAATGAAGATTCTGAAGAAAAGTATTATTATGGCTAACTGAAAATGTTACAGAAAAGTTTTTGGTTTTGATTTTGATTTTTGTGATTTTTGGTTGAAATGTTTGCTTTTGGCAGTCTGGGTTCGGGTGAATAAGAATAGAAATGGCATAGCTGAAGAATTGTGAATGTTTCAAATTAAAAAACGTTATCAGGGGAGGAACGCAGCTGATAATTTCTTCCCTTTTTCCAAATATTGATAAAATATGGTGACAAACAATTTGCAGAACTTCTAGATCCTGTTTTTCGAACAGAGCGGATGTTTCGTAAAAAAGTCAAAAAAAGTCAGATAAAAATCTTGATCTCTACCTTGTGAAACTGTTTAAGGAACTTCTTGATTTCATACGATTCTTGATGAAAGAAACAGAAGATCAGAATCACAAGAATACAAAACAATCTATTGTTGTAGCAATAATTGGAAAGAGTTGTAGGAATAAAAGTAGAGGAAACGAAACGGAACAAAATTTTCTGTTTCGGAAAGGTTTCAATTTCTTGGAAGTATTATGCTTGTCTGAGAAAAAAAAAGGTTGAGACGCAGAGAAAAAGTGTCTGCGTCTCCACCGTTTGAGTGCTATTTAGGCTCTCCGCTTCGATAACGCTACCGTATTCAGACTGCAAAAATACTCTCTAACCTTTTTTTCTCAGACAAGCATAATATAAGAAAGTATGATAGTTAACCGAATGGAAACAAAAGTTCTGTTGATAGAAGTGGAACTTGTGGACCAAATATTGGCAGTGCTACCGACTGAACTACATGGTAGTGGTTGGGCAGCATGCCTGAAAGCTGTTCTCGATTAACCACTTTTTTGACCTGTTTCTCAATGTCAAACTGTTAGACTGAACTTTCCGACGCTCTTCCAGCAGATCGATTTTCCAAAACCAATGGACCATTGTGTTCATGGGCTACCTTGCTGAAAATACCATAAAACCTCTATTCGAAGGACTGACCCTTCTATTTTTAGGGGTTTCTCTAAAATGCACCTCAATTAGACGGTGCATTTGTATTTTCCGTGGGGTCGTTGAGGAGAGTACTTATATTAGATGGACACCGTTTTTTAGTAATATTGTATTACTTACTCTCGATTCCCACTGGAAAATAACATCAAGTCAAAAAAAATTTGAAAATAGAACTTTCACTTTCTCGGCCTCAAAATTTAGCCGCCATAGTAATTTAGCAAAGGGCATTTCTATTAGAGGAGACTCTTCAATTTCAGGCGCACTTTTAATACAGATGTTACAGCATTCTCATTCTTAACGAGGTAACTTCTCATCCGAACTTTCAAGCAAATATTCTCATTTGTTGTGAAAGATATCGAAAAACATTAACAGACAATTTTTTTGACATTGTAATAAGCATTTTTTCTAGTTATCCACTTTTCGATACCTCTTACAAGAACCCAGACAAATCGGTTCAAAGTGGAGGGCTCTTCTATTATAGGTATTACGGTAAACGTTTTAGAAAACTGGAGCACTTTTTCTCTCACTATGATGTTTCTCTAGGACCTTGGTGTTTTTTTCTCAAAAATCCGTTATATTTTCCCAGCCTGAGATCTTCTCTCCTCAAATATTTCGAATTATTCTCCGGATGACGTCAACATCAGATCCACACAGAAACGCCAGAAAAAAAATGGATCGAACACTGGATATCTCGTCTGGAAATCTTGAATCGCCACACTCCAAAAATCCCGTTCCAAATTTCGGAAACTTCCGCGTCCGTCCGGGGTAGAACAAGGAGAAAAGATTGTAATCTAAAAAGCTGGCACGGATCCTCTTTTTGATCTGAATCCTAGAGTTTTTGTCCTTTGAAGAAAAATCTACACTTGATGTTCATCCACAACAGAATGAAAGTGAAAACCGGAGGGCGGTCGGAAAAGAGCGGTGGGAAGAAAGATTTTCGTAGTGAAGAAGTCTGTGAAGAGTACAAAAGGACAGGTTCTACGGTCTTCTCCTTCTCAAAATAGGCTCCGCCCATTATCCCTCCTTTTGAGAATAACATACACACATTGAATTCTCACTCTCACCGATCCGATATTTTGCCCCTTATCAATGCGATCTCTCGACTTCAGGATCTAGGTCAAAATCCATTTCTCTCCCGTTTTCGATTCCATTTTCTCTTTTCGCTTTCTTCATTTGTTTTATGAACAAGATCCTTTTCTTGCTTCTCTTTTAATTCGTTTTCAGTAATTTATGAGGCTATTATCCCCAGGTTTTTTTGCTCAGAAAATTCTTATAGGATGAAGATCGTGTGTATTGGTGCGGCGCCAACGGCTCTCGGAGCTGCTTATCGTCTCAATGAGCTCAAGAACGAGGGAAATGAGGCTGCCAAGGATGCTGAGATCGTGCTCCTCGAGCAGGTTAGTTCGAAGGACTTATGTTTCAAATTGTGAACATATTTAAAGTTTGCTTCTAGAAATTGTTAACGCAGTTGATTGTTTGCCGAGTTTTCTTTAGAAGTGCCCTAGGAAAAATTTCAGCACTACAAAACTCTGTGAAACCACAGAGAATGGTGTTTATATTATTTTTCGCTCTATTACTAAATCATGAGTTTCAGATAGCCTTCAAACTACTATTCCGGTAGACTACGGTAGACCGTATTTGCTCTGATAGAGAGCCTACTTTATACGTGCACTTTGAGCTCAGCTATCTCAGTTCATATGAGACATATCAAAAATCTGCCAACTAATAAAATATTGGCGACATTATGATAAACATTTCGACAATTGGCCATTTTTTGATATCTCTGGCAAAAATGAGATACCGTAAAACCTTAATAGAACGACACCCGGAACGTCCACTTTGAGCCTATATATCTCACTTCTTTTGAAAGGTATCAAAAAGTGGTTAACTAGTAAAATGTTTATCAGGATATCAGCAACATTTTACTAGTTTACCACTTTTTGATATCTTTTGCAGAAAATGAGATATATAGGCTCAAAGTGGACGATCCGGGTGTCGTTCTATTAGAGGTTTTACGGTATACGTTTTACGGTTTTACGGTTTTACGGTGGTGCTCAAAGATGACGCTTTGGAGGCATTCTATCAGTGTTAACGGTAGCTTTAAAACTACTGTTACGGTACACTACAGTAGATATTGTATTTAATCATAGTAGAACTATGGGTAGAGTCACAGACGTACGGTAAAATATCCCTCGACAGTGTTCTCTGCACAACATTTTGAGTTTTTCTTAGTGACGAATTTCGGAGAAACCCGGGAACCATTTGTTCATTTACTAGACTTACACTCTATTTGCTGTTTCACTATCAGAACATCAGTATGAATATTTGAGTTTCTTGCTGCTTTCGATAAAAACATTGCCAACTGTCAATTTTGAGCTCAATTATCTCAATTTTTGCGAGTGTATCAAAGGTATCAAAAATTTGACAATTGTTGGTGATACTATGATGACTAATTTATCAGTGCTCAAATTTGTGATTTCTTTCACATGAATCGTGATAATTGAGCTCAAAGTTGGGCCTTTGCTTTAATGGAATATGGTAACTTGGACTACTGTATCTATAGTCAAGTTTCGGATTCTTATATTTTCAATACTATTCCGTAAATTTACAAATCGTCTGAATTCCAGGAAGAAATCGCCGGAGGACTGTCGTGCACCGTCACCGATGCCAAGGGATTCCTCTGGGATATGGGAGGCCATATCACTTTCAACCATAACTTCCCATACTACGAGAAGGCCACTCAATGGGCTGTTGATGACTGGAACAAGTTGGCCCGAAACTGCATGGTTGACATGAACTACTTGTACGATAAGAAGGGAATCCATTTGGTTCCATATCCAGCTCAATTCGCCGTTCCTTTGTTCCCGGATGAGGTCAAGAATCGGTGTCTTGCTGATTTGAAGGAGAGATATGAGAATGTAAGTGAAAGTGAAAGTGAAACAAAAAATCGGGAAAATCGGATTCTCGATTTTTGCAAAAAGAAATAACCTTACCTAACAGAACATTTTGAATAAATCAAATTTTCAGCCTCAAGATGGAACGACTCCAGATAACTTCGAGGAGTGGGTTCTCCAACACTTTGGACCAACCATTCTCAACACTTTCTTCAAGCCATACACCAAGAAGGTTTGGACTGTTGAGCCACTCAAAATGTCTCCAAACTGGGTTGGAACTCGTGTTGCCAAGCTTCCACAGGAGAAGCTCGAGGAGTTGTGCTCCATGGATCAAGCCGAGTTGGCCAACGCCGACTTCGGATGGGGACCAAACTCCTACTTCACTTTCCCCAAGTACGGAGGAACCGGAAACGTTTGGAACTCGATGGCCAAGAAGCTGCCAAACGAGTGGTTCAAGTTCAATAACAAGGTGAGGAATTACACGGGACATAGCATTATCATGTTGATGCAAATCATATTAATAATTCTCTGAAACCGAAAAAAAATTTTCAGGTCACCGGAGTGAACCACAAGGAGAAGACTGTTGAGGTTTTGGAGACTGGAAAGACTGAGCCAACCAAGATATCGTATGATGTTCTTCTCAACACTGCTCCAATCGATCAGTTGGTTAACAACACACAAATCACTGCTCCATTGGATATTGTTCACAACAAGGTTAGTTTTATATTCGACATGCAGATGTCAATTAAAGGGCTTCGTTTCCAAACATTTAACTATTGTAGAGGAAACAGTACAATTCTGGAGTCTCCATTTTTGTTCATAGCTAGAATTTTTAATTTAGCTGGAGTCCAATGGGTAGCGAACATCCTGTAGATGTTTAGATTAATCGAATGTTTGAGATCTACTCCAAAACTTTCTGGATCGATAGTTGTTAAAGGAGGAGAAACATGAGATTTTTAAAATTTTTTTTTGGAGTTACGGTTAACATTCTGACATGATAATGTACAGTGATTAGTGTTCACCCTGCGCGTTGATATAATGCCGCTTTTATATATCTCATCGGTCCCCCGTGCCGGAGCGCGATTTATAACAATGGGCGTTTGAAGCAAAACATAAATTCAAGAATTTTGTTTAAAATCATTTAAGACTTGTGGAAGGAACGGTAAATTTTTATGGTGTCAATTTTCGTAACTTGTCTGTAGCTAGAACTTTCGATTTTTCTGGAATACCGTGAAGCCTGTATTAGAAAGACACCACAGTGTCAAGTTTGAGCTCAGTTATCTCCGCTCCTATGAGAGTTGTCAAAAATCTGTCAACTGATAACATGTATTTGATATCATGATGAACAATTTATCAGTTGACAACTTTTTATAACTTTACAGGAACCGAGATGAGTTGACTCAAAGTAAAAAGTTAGGAGGTTCTTCTATTACATGTTTTTCGGTATACCGGGAAGCGAACATCTTGTAAATTTTTTCAGTTGCTAGATTTTTTGAGTTCTTCTCTCAAGCGTTCTGGACCGTTAGTCTTTAAAATAATTCATTTCTTACGAATCTCCAGAATTATAAACTTTTCCTTCTGAATTCTCATCTTCCTTAATTCAGGTGTTCATCGTCGGAGTCGGTCTCAAGAAGCCAATGACCTCGTTCCTCGAGAAGTTCACCTGGCTCTATTTCCCAGATCGTGAGGTTCCATTCTTCCGTGTCACCATCCTCAGCAGATACGGAGAGGTCACTCCAGACAGCGACAAGTACTGGTCCGTCATGTGCGAGTGCGCTCGTCCAATTGATGATCCAGTGAGTTTGAAATTTTTCATGCATAGACTACTATCTGAATACTACCAAAACGTTAACTGTTTAGAACTTTAATATTTTACTGAAACAGTAATTTTTAGATCACCGAGGAAGAGATGGTCAAGAAGACTCTTGATGGACTTGTCATCAAGGACATGATCACTCGTGAGGCTATTGAGTCCGTCTACTCCATCACTTTGCCATACGGTTATCCAATTCCAACACCAAATGTGAGTTTTCATTAAATTTCCATCTGAAACTGACCCAATTTATTTTCAGCGCGACCGTGAATTGGCCCGTGCTCACACTGAGCTAGAACGCCACCAAATCTACTCTCGTGGACGTTTCGGAGGATGGAAATACGAGTCGTCCAACCAGGATCATTGTTTCATCCAAGGAAAGGAGTTCATCGACAGAGTCATTCTCGGCGAGCCAGAGAAGCTCTACAAGACCGGAGTTCCAACCATTCCACGTGGATGAGCTTGAAAAAGTGTTTATCATTCACCTAATAATTTATGTAACAACTTCGTTTTTTTTTCTTGCTTCTTGTGAATTCTCAAAAATTGTGATTGATTCGAATGTGATTCTTTTTAATAGCTCGATTCTGATTGTGTTACTGTGCAATATTCTTTTCTTGTCTCAAAGTCTTTAAAGTTAAAAGTGTTTGGTAATAAAATTCTAAAAAATCTTAAAGCCTAGCTCTAGTTTTTCACTACAGTAAAACCTATAATAGAATCATTGTCAAGTTTGAGCTAATTCATCTTGGTTCATGTGAAAGATATCAAACATTTGTGAACTGGTAAAACTTTTTTGTGGTTTTTCTATTAGAGGTCCGGTATTCTTGAACTTGAGCAATTGGAAAAACCCGTTTTTCAGATTTGCCAATAGAAATTTTTTGCTTGGTTTGTAAATTGTAGAGCATATGAATCAGACGTATTCTGATGCAAAAAAAATCGAAGTTGTGGAGAGAAACGCTTGTGGCCGCGGCCGATGGTCCTACAACGACAACTACCGTACCTCATTTTTCGGATTTAGTATCTCAATTTCCGTGCGTTTCCAATCAAATTTTCACTCTTAAATTTTCATTCCGCCTTTTTGGGGGAAACATAGCAAACTTAATGAAAAACGATGAAAATCGAGGAAATAAATACTTTTAAAAATTAATAAATAACATTTTTAGGTTACGGTAGTTGTCGTTGTGAGAACTTCGGCAACGTTATATACCGGCGTTTCTCTTCCACAACTCCGATTTTTCTGCGCCAAAATAATACTGCTTGTTTTCAGGGACCTCAACAAGTCTCAAATCTATATATACTTCCAGTTATATCTCTCCCCTAGTGTATAGGATCTTAGAGACCCCATTACTCCTTCTCCGCATTCCTACTTTCTCCATAATCACCATCATTTGTTTCTCTTTGTAATAAAAAAACTCCTCCAAATAGTATGTGAACCACTGGAGACGCAGACAGATCTCGTTTAAAAGTGCAGTATAGTTAGACCATTTACCAGCAGGGAAGATAGAAACGCACTCTTACAAAATGGACAAAACCATGTGTTCTTTTCTATCATCAATTTTTTCTAGGAATCTAGGAAAATTGCAATAAACGGATAGAAAAGGACATAACTTTAAACCGTTTTTTCCGTATAGATACGAAAATGATCAGATGTGAAGTGAGTTTGTCTAATCCCGACAGGTAAATTTATGGTAAAGACGTTAAATGACTATGTAAAGGAATTTGGCGAGTGATAAGAATACAGTAATCAATACATTGGGAAACTAAAGAACTTCTGAGACTCGACAAAGCGTTACAGACGCTCAAAAATTATGATTGACACTGACAAAAAATACAAAATGATTACTCTTGTCGCGCCTGTTCCCATGTCACCTGGTATAAAAGTCTCCCAACTGTTTTTTGATTCGTTTTTCGACTACATTCTCTGTTAACCATTCTTTTTTTCTAGTTTGAACAGATCAACTTCATTAATTAAAATGCGATTTTCACTTTGATGAGAATTAAATTGGAGCATTAATTGTTTCATGCGGGATGGAAAAACTTTGAGTGTTCGAAAATGAGTAACATCAGCATGTTTCTGCAAAATATTCCGAACAATTTCGATGTTTTTTCGATTCTACCGTATGATTGTCAAAGGAACGTAACTAATTTGTGTTTGGCCTCGCAACGCGACTGCGAATTTGATGATGCGACTTTAAATAATCATACGGTAGGCGGCGAAGACAAACAAATTTTCAGATTTGTGAATGTTTTTCTTTGAATTTATTTTCGAATTAAAAAAGTGGGACCTGGAAAATTTCGCGGGCGGTTCCCGGTCAATTTTCGAGGCCTTGCCCCAGAAACACTACGGTAGTAAACGAATCTTATTTCTGTGAGTTTAGTGGGATTTTCTGAACAAAATTTAGATTTCTTGGTAGGAAAATGATCGCTAGCATCTTTAGAATCTGTTTTTCATCAAAAAACCGAACTTAATTGCGAAAGTAGCTCGAACGAGACGAAACTCTGAAATATTACGTTTTTGCTGCACTTTTTCGTAGATCAAAAAGAAGCGACGATTTTCAAATTCTCAGGTCCCACTTTTTTTAAATTCGACTATAGGATTGAAATTCTTTGAAAGCAGCAATAAAATTGAGTTTTTTCTATTGTTTTAAAGTGTCTTCTGGCTATTTTCGAACGCAACAGTCAATCTACCCTTTTTCGTTGCAATTTTCTCGGCAACAGTTTGAAAAATTGCTCTTTTTTATCATTTTCCATTCCATCTCTCCATATTTTTAGGCTAACAGAATGACGTCTTCTGTCTCTCCATTCTCTTCTCGTCTCCTTCTCCCACTTCTCCATTCCCCACAATGGGCGGCGCTTCGAACCAAATGGGCGGAGCCAATCAGAGGGTTCAAAACAGCCAACACAGCAGCGTCTGTCTTCACGATTCGTGCTTCTTCTACCGGTCGCAAAATGCCACGTGTCCTGATAACCGGCGGTACCGACGGAATCGGAAGAGAAGCAGCTCTGAAGCTCGCCGCCGAGAAACACGAAATCACAATTTCGGGAAGAGACCCGAAGAAAGCGAAAGACGTCATCGAGCAGTGTCAGGCGAAGTTTGTAAGTTAACAATTTCTTTTATTTTTCAGGTTGATTAATTCAATAACTTTCAGAATAACACACCGCGCTTCATTCAAACCGACTTGTCACTGGCAAGCGAAGTGGTCAAGTTCGCCAATGAAGTCGCCGGAGAGCAATAGTAAGTTTTTCAAAGCGATTCTGTACAAAAATTCTGTGATTTTCTAATTTTTTTCAGTGACGTTTGTATTCTCAACGCGGGTATCATGAATCCAAAGCCAGGACGAACTAGCGAAGACCGTGAAGCGACGATGATGACAAATCTCGTTTCGTCTTATATGATTGCACATAAGATTATGAACACGAGAAACGATGAGTCCCGTCCGCTTCACTTTGTTTTCAGTACTTCGATTTTTGTCAAGTGAGTGAAGAATCAATAATTGTGAAAAACGCCTGCAATTCTTTACAGATTCCACAATTCCACTCCCCTTGGTCTTCGCTTCTTCAACCCACAAAAAGTGTCGGATTGGCAAAAGTCTCTAGTTCCTTCCGATGTCTCTGGTCCCGGAAAGTACGCCATCTCGAAGATCGGTCTGGCAACTCTCTCCTCTTCGATTTCTCTCGCAAATCTTCCAAATGTGACAGCGACAAGTGTTCATCCGGGAACTGTCTACACTAATATCATGTCAAATCTCCCGGCTCGCCAGCAATTCTACATTAAACTCGCTCGTCCGTTCACCACTTCTCTCAGCGATGCCGGCGCCAACTTGGTTCGTGCTGCGAAGAATCCATTGCCAGCTGGAAAATTCTATCTGGCCGACAAGCCCACTAAATTGCCATCGTTTGTTTATTCGGATTTGAGCATTGCCGCTTTCGAGGGAGTCTTCGAGCAGTTCAAGATTCGTAATTGATTGCTATACAATTCCTATTTTGTACCATTTTAACCCCCTCTTCCTTCACGAGTTCTTCTCTCTATCTCATGTATTTTTATATATTTGCGCCCCTTGTGTAATGACATGAATCTATGTATTTAGAATTCCATATATTTTTGTTCTAAATCCAGTCCCAATTAGTAGCCGTGACCGCATATCATGTTTTGCAGGCTAGCGATGAGATCAAAGAACAACATATTACGGTGCTTGATTCAGTGTTGACAACATTAAATACAATAACAAGTAATCGACGGATTCATTGAGATCATCCATTAGAAAGCTGCGAGGTTTCCAGAATAATGAGAGGACCGAAAATCCTTATTTGCAGAGAAAACAAAGAACAAGAGAGGACCAAAAACAGCAAAACAAAGTGTGAAAATCTAATTAGGATATTATTCAGAAGCTGTTCAAAACATGAGCATGAGCACGATGAATGCAAGAGCATTCTGAAAAACAAACGATGACTAATGGTGTACGAGGAACTGGTGCAATGACCTGGGAAGAGAATATGTCGCCGAAGGGATGCTGAAATACTTCTTCCACCTTTTTTATGGAAAAATTTGGGAATTTTAAGAAAAATTTCTCGAAAATACCATTTAATTTTCGCTGAAAATGCACAAATTGCGAGAAACCTCTTGAGGTGACTGAGGAAACCGAAGGTTTCAAGCGAAAACTGAAGAACTGACTTGTCGAAACATTGCAGCACTTCTATGCAGTTATTCGTCCGACTCTTCAAAGAGAGAGAGTATTTAGCGATTCAGCAGTTAAATTCAAAACTTTTGTGTCGAGACCAACACTAATTTTACTGTAGTATTACGGTTATTCGTGTTTTACACGAAATCTCAACAACGTGCATTTGTGGCTCTCCAAGAGGAACAAAGGAACAAAACAGCAAAAACCGCACGACAAGAGAATTTCGAATGAAGGTATTGTTCAGGACATGTTCGATTATGAACTAAATGAATGCGACACAAGATGCAAGTTTTGCTGAAAACGCACAGAATTGCAAGAAAAAACATCAGAAAAACTAGCTTAAATTTTTTTCCACTAATTACAGTTTCATCAAACCCACATAAAGTATTCGGTTTTGATGCAAACTAATAAGACGTATGTGGCCGTGGGCGAAAGGTATGACACAACAAAAACTACCGTAACCTAGAAGTGTTTTATTTTCCGGAAATACTCAATTGCGTTTTCAGTCATCTTTTTACTCTCAAAAATTTTAATTGTTCGACTTTTATAGGGAAAATAACAGGAAACTCGACAATAAAAACCGAAAAACAAAAAAATTAATACGGAAAATAAACATATTTCAAGGTTGCTGTAGTTGTCGTTGTGGGACCTACGGCCATTGGCGTTACTCTTCCACAGCTACGATTTTTGCATACCAGCATGAATAATAACATCCTTAACAATAATCGGGAACATATTGTAAAATCCCTGACTCTTCGGAGTTTTCTTCAAAAGTGCACCATCTTGTTTATTGATTTTCTCTCTTCTTGATCTTCACTTCCCGAATACGTCAGGTCGGTTTAACTATGGGCTGATTGACGACCTGATACGAGAATACGAATAAAACCGTTTTTCTCGAGAGGTTGCCAAATAAACAAAATAGATAGCCTCTGATTTTTGCTATGCGGAGAAAGGTTCATTTCATTTAGGCTTGTTAAAATTGACATTTCTTGGCGCCAATCGCCCAGAAATTTTTGGGTTTGGCAAGGCACGCCAATATTTATTTTTGGCATTGGTCACCAATACCAATTCAGGCATTTCACGCCTGTATCAGGCATTTCACGCCTGTTTTCATAATATGAATTTTGATTAGGGGTGTTGCTGGCCGCCAGTGCCAGAGCTATGGGCCTTTCAATTTAACGTGATTTGCATTAAAAGCCAGCGAAATTTTTAAGCAGGCAATATTTGCCTGTTTAAAATTTAAACCGGCGTCAAACGCCGCTTTCTTTTTGAGAATAGAATTTACCTTTTGGTTCACTTTTGGTTCACCATCCCATCACTGTAGCTTCAATCTTGATTATCTCAGTTCTTATGAAAGATAGCAGAAAACTGTCAACTGATAAAATGCTCCAAATGTCAAGAAAAACATTTTGGCAGTTGACGGTTTGGTCGTATGTTTCACAAGAAGTCAGATAATTGATTTTAAAGGGAGAGAATGGGAATTATAAAATGTTAGAACGAATTTGTTATTTGAGAAGTTACCACTAGTCTTCCATCAATAGTTTTTGTGATTATGTCTGGATCGAGGTTTAGTTCAAAAGTATTTGTTTAGGTTTTTAGAATTTAAAGTTGTAAACTTTGATTTCCGGGACTTCCGAATGCAGGTTTTAAAAAAACTACGAAGTTCGGAGATATTGAAATTATAAATTTCAAAAGTTTAATCAAAATTTTCAAAGGTCTAAAATATCATTTTTCATTCCATTTCATTGTTTCGGATCATCAGTCGTTTTTTTTAAATCTTTTCTCTATGAAATATTTACTATTGAAAAATTCATCTTTTAAAAAACTGGCGCTGGCAGCCAGTGCAAAAATTAAAAGCGGCGTGTGGCGCCAGAAAACGCCATTTTGGCCAGCCTAATTTTGAGAGATTGAAGGGAAAAATTGAAAGGTTTTTTTTAGATTTTAGATTTTTGTAGCTATTAGGCAAATCATAGCAGTCGAAACCTAAAGAAAATAATGTTTTTTCCAGCCTTGAAAAAGGATATTCAATAAAAATACGAAATTGAGATGTTCATTAATTTAAGAAATTTCAAAAATTCATATGAATTCGTTCTCTTCAAAATTCAATTAAAAAGATTTTTCAAAGAACAAAGTTTTTTTTCAGAAAATGAGATATTATAAAAATTCAGCAGTCCTAAAAATCCCCAAAAAAACCGGAAATTCAAAAAACTTCGAAATTCAAAATTCTCTACGAAAAAAACTAAATGCAGAGATTGAGAAATTCGAAAACCCAGATACAGTATTTCCTCTAATAGAAGCCCATGGGCTTATATTTTTCAACCTCTTTCTCGGGGTGGGCTTCAATTAGAGGGTGGGCTTCTATTTTTCAACGATTTTTTGAAATTTCAGAAAACTGAAATCCAGGACACTTGAAAAGTCTATAAAAGTAATGTTTTCCGATATTTATTTACCATTTGTGAAGCTTTCAGAAAATTCGGGAATTCAAGAAATTCCAAACTCGCAAGAATCCTAATATCCAGGATTTGAAGGAAACAGAATTTCGATATTCTGAAATTTCTCAGAAATCCAAAAACATCCCGAAAATTGCGAGTTTCGAAATTCGGAATCTCGAAATTTTAGACAATTTGAAATTTGAAACTCAAAAACTTTCTCTAACTAAGTTCTCTAACTAAGGATCTATCTAGAATTCGTCTCCAAGTTGAAATTCATGAACTGTATCATCAGAAAACATATTCAAGTTTCATTCTGAATAAATAGAAAAATAGACATTTTTCCCTGTTTCAAAATTGAAATCAACTTTAAATCAACTGAAAGGTATCTTTTGACCTGTTTTTCTCAAAGTTCTTTGCTGTTCCGCAAAAACAAAAAAACATATTCAGAATGGAAATTTCCTGGGCTTTCTAATGATATATGTCATGAAGTGTTACTTGGAGACATGCTCAGATTTATCCCTAATAAAGTAAAAATTGTAATTCATAGGATAAATATTGGCATTTGACGCCAATATTGAAAATCTAAATTGGCGATCATCACCAATAAAAAAAGAAAACAGGCGATGAATGCAAATAACATGAAAAAAGATTGGGCCTGTGAACTTTCTTGGGGAGCCAACAACAACCCTAATTTCATTGAACAATAAAGCAACAATGAACTGTTTTGTATATAAATTTACGAATTCTTCAAATACGTATAACTACAGAGTACCCATTAATCATTTATTTCCGCATTCAAACATGAAGTTTAGAAGAAAAAATAGAAGGAAATTGCGATAAGAATCGGTTATCCAACAAGAGAAGCGTTCATAAGAACGTTCGCTAGATGTGGTGGTGGTGGATGTTGTGCAATCAGCATAGCTTGTGGCGGGATAGTTTTCGATTGATTGTGAGCAAACGGATGGGATCGATCATCTGGAGAAAGGGATCCCAGGACGACGACGAGACAGAGAAACAGGACAAAGGCCAGCCAGACGAGGAGAAGACACAACTTCTTATGACGGCACAAGCATTCCTTGCAGAGTTTTGATTTCTGAAAATATCGAATTAAAACTCAACTGATTGAATTTGTTTGATATAAATGATACCTCATAAGTGATAGCTGGCAAACTGTATCGATATATCGATACCCGTTCAGACGATAAATGTCTCCATTTCACTCTTCTCACACGACTATCGTTTTTCAAATGATTTTCCAAGGTTTTTATCGATATCACTGTTATCTGAAAATTACTACTTATAATAGAGAAGTCTTTCTAATCATTTACCTTATTGCACTCTGAATCCTTGACCCATAAAAAGTACATATGCTCCTCTCGAGGAGTGGAATCCAAATATTTCTTGATTTGTGTCAGTTTCTTTTCTCCTAGGGACGAGATGAAGACGTCGGCTTGAGCTCCAACCGGTTGCTCGCAGATCTGAAAATTGGAATTCGGAAACTGATTCAAATTGGGAAGTTGGCTTACTGTAGATGGTCCTGGTTCATCTCCATAGATGGAGAATATGGATGGGGATGGGGATGATGGACGTCCTTCGTCCATTTCCAAATCTTTTCTAGATTCATCTTCGTTTGTACTCAATGCTGCGTAGCCGAAGGTTATCGTGTCTGGCTTCTCTTCCTTTCGTTCTCTGAAAAACTTCAGATTGAGATTAATTGAAGAAACCCATGAATAATTCAAGGTTATACTTATAATCACACTTTCCAATTATCCATGTTCCTATTGGATATCAAAAATGTTTAAACGAAGAAAATGAGAATACGGTATGTCCAATCACACACTTTTTTCAAAACTGCTATTTGAATAAAAATGATGCACAATTGGGTGAAATACAGAAACAATTATTACTGATTGTTGAGACCGGCATTCATCCTTTCAAATTTTTAAGAAGTTTCGTCCTCTTGCAAAGGTTCTAAACTACCGTAAAACCTGTAATAGAAGGGCACCCACACTGACAAGCTCGAGCTCAATTACCTCAATTCCAATGCACTATATCGAACATGTTTTAACTGACAAAACACTTCAAATGATGAACAAATTATCTGTTAACAACTTTTTATATCTTTAATAGGAACCGAGAAAATCGGCTCAAGGTAAAAACTTAAGGGACACCTTCTATTACTGTTTTAAGGTGTTATTTAATCTCCAATAGCATAAATCGTTAATTTTTAAACTGCTATTACAGTTTCAAGAGTTCTATGTTTGCTGCTTAATCGTATTTGTTCAGTTCGAGTTGCCTTATCGGATGCAACCGAAACTCCGGCTCAATCGTAATGAACTAAAAGTCGACGAAATTGATTTTAATCGATTAGAATGGTCGTTCGATGGTTTATATTAGAGTTTGTGCACCAGAAATTTCATCGAGTTTTTGTTCATATCTGGTTAGTTTTACGTCAACAACGAAACGTTTTTTTAAAGAAAATTGAGCCGAAATTCTCATCGCTATCCCTTGATGGCGCTCTTCCTAATCTCTGATATGCCTCTTGACGCCCGCGTCGTCGTTTTTTATCGAATAATTGATCCCAATTACCGCTTTATTCACTTGAACAAACACCAAACCGCATACAAATTGTTTGATTTGATTCTCGACGCCTTCTTCCATTCTTCACTCCTTACCCACTCCCATACACAGTAGTAGTAGTAGAAAAGAAAAAGTCAAAACATGTTTTCGACATGAAATTAAATGTTTTTTCTTGCTCTCCCGCTCTCGTTCTCTAAGTCACCTAATCTCACACACTATCTCGAATTCTGCTCCAGAATCCTAGTAAAGAAATGCTCCGGATATTTTGCAGAAGGAGGAACTCACCTGAAGCTTTCATATGGTCTGATTGTGACTCGACGTTCTTGTTTTGATGGCATGTGAACAAGACTGAAACGTTTCGATTTGAGAGCCGACTCGATTGGTGTTGCTCCTTCTGAGAGTTTTGGAATCGGAAGAGGTTTGACGGAAGATTTCGAAGACGTCGGGATAGATGCCGATGTGGCACGACGCTCCATTATTTCGGGCATCTGCTGGAAACATTGATATTTAGAAATATTGAAAGCTGGAGCGAATTACAGAGCAAAAATAAAAGTTACTGACAGTTTATAAAACAAATGTGAAACTGAAAACATCGGGCTGAATAGTTTTAGAAGTGGGAAAATGATTTCTGAAATAAGTTTCTTTCAGTTTCAAGACTTCAAGCTTTTGGTTTCAGAAACCGAGACATTTTAAAATTATCTATGTAAAAATCACGAAAGTAATCAACGTCACGATAACAAGAATTCCAAGAGCCAGCTTGACAACCGAAACCTCTCATTTCAGAGAGGTCTGTTGTCAAGTTTGGGAGAATGAAGTGGGTGGAGAAGAATGACGTGAGGTTTAGAAGTTTTGATATTATTGGGGGTGAAATTGACATGAAGCTGAGGAAATGGAATGTGTGAAGATAAGGATTTGGAACTGGAAATTTCGAAAATCGGGGTTGGTTTCATGGAGGAAGGAAACATTTTTGAACTCAGAATCGTTCAATTTTTTCATTAAATTTACTGTTTCATGAACATATTATGTAGATTTTAATCTGCCCATTCTTTGCTAAACTTATTTATTTTACACGACTACATGGCGTCTTCCAATATTCGCACGTTGAGCTCATTTATCTAAACTCCAACATAATATATCGAAGATTTGCCAACTGATAAAATGTTGTACATGATATCAGCAACACTTTGATATTTCATAGATGTTTGATTTCTTTTACAGGAATTGAGATAATTGAGGGCGAAGTGTAATTACAGTAAACCCCCTGTACAAGATTTCAAAAAGTAGTTAACTAGCAAAATAGTTTTGATTTTATGATAAACTCTTTGTCAGTTCATTACTTTTTAATATCTTTCAAAAGAACCGAAAAAAATGACTAAAAGCTAAAAGTTAGGGACTTCCACTACAGGTTATAAGGTATATTCTTGATGACAAACAACTGAATCTTAAGTTCAGTGAAGGTTGGGTCCAAGATATCTCAGAGTACCGTGAACACTCTAATATATAATTCTTTCCTAATTGAACGCCACCAGGCTTGGTCGGAATCGGAAAATCGAGTTCTCGATTTTTCCGATTTTCCGATTTTTTTCGGAAAATTTTTCCGTCGGAAAATTTTCCGAATTTTTTATCGGAAAATTTTCCGAAAAATATTCGGAAAATTTTTTCTCGAAATAATCATGCTGCGTTCAAAGTGAAGAGGAAATCTCTACTTTGTATAGTTGAAACGGGTGCAACAGTAACCCAAGCGCGGCGGGACCCGCAATCGGTGTCGATTTACGGGGTCGATTTAAGGTGAATTTTTTTAAAATTAATTTTTTTTGAATGAAAACATACTTTAATCAGGGTTTTCATTACTTTTTCAAAACTGGTAATTTTTGACTAATTGAAATTCGAGAAAATTCGAGAACTCGATTTTCCGAAAACTTTTAGTCGAGAAAAAATTCGAGAACACGATTTTCCGAATTTGTTTTTCCGAACAAGCCTGAACGCCACCCTCTAATAGAACACCCTCCCAGCTAAGAATTGAAAAATAAACATGGTATTAATTAGAGTGTTTACGGTATGTACAATACTTGATGAATGCAGTAAGATGAGGTTGGGTCTGTGTTCTTTAAAAATTCCAAGAATTTCCGGAATTTTCCTAATTGTTAAACTCAAAAAAGATTTTTTGAGAAACATTTTAGAACCATTCCTAGAGCTTTTAGTAACTTTTTTTGAAAAATCAAGTTAAAATTAGTACTGGGCCGAATTCAGGAAATTCTGATTTCCGTCCGGTTGCAAATATGATCTATATCTTACTCGACAAAATCTCGAGAACATCGTGAAAAATTCGAAAAACAAACATTGAAACGAAAAATGAGGAGGAAGAAAAAAAAGTGAAGTAGACAGTCACTGATGTCTTGTGATTCGATTAGAATAAGACTCTCTTCTCTCTTCCTTCATAGTTCAAGAGGGTTACTGAGATTCCTGTGGGAACTGAAGAGAAGAAAATTACAGTTTGAGGAAGACAAATAAACTAGTTAGAATACTGTACATCTATGGGTCTTTGAAAAACCAATTTTTTGAAAATTGATTTTCCGCTAATTCCTGTTCCACCTAACTGACATATTGCATTCGGTTTTGATGCTCACTGATTATTTTCTGTACGTACAACGGTACCATACATTTTTAATTCTGAAATGGTTATATTTTTCAACGTTCAAAAATAAAGTTTGGAAAAAAAACAAGTCTGGAAATGTCATCTTTTTCGAATAGCTTCATTTTGTCTGCAAATGATAGGTAGTAGGGGAGGAGTGGTCCAATTACATTTCAACAACGAACAAAGGCAGAAGAAAAAACTGAAAAAAAAACAAACAATTTTTTCGAGCCAAGACAATGCCAATCTTATTAGTAATTAGAAAAAAAAGAAGAATGAAAAAAAAAACCCGAAAGCAGAAAATAGAGGAATTGAAAAATTTTAGGGAAACAGTGAAATTCTTGGAAGAAACGAAAAGCCAGAAATAGAGGAGAAGCATTTCTTTGAGTGAAAAAATATGAGAGTCCTTCCATAGGAGAAGCTTGGCAAAAAATAAAATGGGGAGAACGAGAAATTTCTCAAATTTCAGCTCGATTTCTATTTCTATTTTTTAACCTCTTCATGCATATTCTTACGACTACAAAAAAGGAGGGAGAAGAGGAAGGACAAAATTCAGACAGATTGGGTGTCGAATTCGAACGAAATGAGGAGAAAGATCGGGAAAAAGGAAGGCAGCTGACAGAAAAGAGAGGAGCGGTGTCAATGGGAAGAGCTGATTAATTGTCATGTTTTTGACAAGAAGAAAAAAAAGAGTTTTGATATCGGAAGTGACGTTTGGGAACCTGTTCGCTCTTTGATTGTTGTAAATGAGCACGGAATTGAAAGAGGTACAGTTGGTTTAAAGTGGTCGCATCGGGTTGTCTGAAAGGCATAGTAGATTTTGTTGGATCAGTAAAAGCTTTTAGGTCCATTAAATAAAAATAGAGCTTCAATTTGGTAGTTGACACTTTTTTGTACAAGTTATCCACAAAAGATATATTACTTGAAACCAACCAAGGGCCAAAACTTCCACTGCGTTCAGAGTCTTGGCAATTTTTAGCAGTTCATCACGTCTGGATGAATTTATACCAGAAGAGGTGCCAACTACAAAGTTAGAGATCTTTTTTTGTTTAGTGAACCTGGAAGTTTTCAGACTCATCCAACAAAATCTACTGTACTTTTTAGGAATCCGAACTCCGGTCTTTTTTTCCACCAAAGATAGGTAAAACCAATAAAATTTGGGACGGGTATGTATATTCCGCACGCTATGAAACTCTATCATTTCATCATAGCTGCCAGCCTAAACTTGAGTTCCAGAAACAGTAAGGCTACGGGAAATTTCGCCACTGGAGGCAACTGCGACATTTCCCCCCACTATTATAGATACATAGCTTACAGACTACAAAAATATTTTAAGGTTTTCTAATCTGCTGCTTCTTATAGAAAACAACTTAAAATTCAACAGTTCAAAAAAAGGTTTTTAAAAATTGAAATTTTTAGAATTTTTCTAATTTCAGGTTATGTTCTATCGGAATATGCATATTTGAAACGTCTCGGAGCCAAAATCTAAACATCGGAAACATAATCAGATCATTGGTATTTAAAAAACTATTCTCTTAAAACAGGAACTAGATGGAACTGAATTTTCCCAGCGGATTTTGCAAAAACTATCGTGCTTTTTCTTCCGTGTGTAGAAGTCCCAAAACGGAGAAAAAAACAGTGATCAGTTTCCGTAGTTTCTCCTTGGAATCCTTCCGTGGAGATGTTAAAAATTTTTATAGAAGCGGACAACTTAAGTTAGTCATACTAAAATTTTTAATAGTTACATGATTTAACAGTAGAGCGAAACAGGAAAACCATTTAGAAACGCCTTTAGATAACCTGTCTCAAACTCATGTGTCAGGTGGGATGATTTTTTCGGATGGATTGAAAAATTGGGAATTATTCATGAGACTTTCTCTTTTTTCTTTTTCTCTCGGTCCCGAACGGAAAGCTTCTAGCACAATGCCATTTGTCATGCTCCAGATGTTCCCGAAGAAGAGACAAAAATAGGAGAAAAATAAGAGAGAATGGGGTGGTCAACAATATAAATTTTAGAAAAAAGAGAAGAGCAGAGAAGAGAGCAGGAGATGCTATTTTTTTTCAAATGGAATTTTAATTTAAATTTCATTTGTTGAGAATTAAATTTATATAGAAAAAGCGGGAGAGTTATCTGATAGAAAGTGATTTCTGGTGTTTTTTCAGAGGAACTAGATCGATAACATGTAATTTCGAAAACCAAAGGGAATAGGTTTTCTAATTTTCAGTTTTGAATTCTGGGAAAATATCAGGTACAGTAGGATGATAATTATTTCTTGTGTTTTGAAATGGGAAGTGAAATCACTTTAGTGAGCAAAGAGTAAACAGAAGTTCAGATTCTTGGTTTTAGAAAAAAATTAGGAGATCAGGTAATAAAACTATGGATGATTTACAGTTTCAGATTTAGGGAGTGATCAAAGAAATGGGATTTAAAACCCTAAAAATAAAATTTCGCCACCTGAAACCGAATCAGTTCAGTCGTTTTCAGTCTAGACAATAATAAGCAAAAGCTTGACAAGAAAAATATATACCATTTAGGGAGTTAATTTTCAGATTACTCAGATCTAATTCTGAGTAAACTAGCCAGTGAATCGAACAAAAAAGAGGAGGTTTTCGGAAATTTGGCTTTGATAACAATTTGATGGGGTATCTAACGTGAGATTGGCTATATACAGGTAATCAGTTAATATAAAAATTATGAAAGAGAAAAAATTCAGAACATGTAAATTATTTTGTGATTTCTCCACTTCTATTCGCACATTCGCACTAAATAGCGCACGTGCATCTCTGCTGTCCGATTAAGGAAGTTCCTGACACCTATAGGAGAAACTCCTTGCACCCACTCTTATATCCGTCTTA